CTCATGGCTCTTGTGCCTATGTGGTGGTTTCTGGTCATTCTTTGACAAAATCTCTCCTCTACTGTGTTTTGCAACATGGTATCCACAGAAAGAGATTTCGAGTTCAGTTTATAAAAAGAAGTTTCTTCTTAAAGCAGTAAGTGTTGAGGATTTCAATGAGTGTGGCTTAGAACATAGCTTTAGTCGCCTTGGTCCCTGAACATGCCAGGACGCACCTCAGATTTAGAATGGCTTCTTATCTGAGTGTTTCGGGGGTCTCATGGCTGGCATGATTTTAAGCCACCATGCCCGAGACTCGAACCACAGTTAACTGTGTGGGAGTCTTGCAATGTAACCATTGTGCCATCTGCTGGTCTCATTATTATGTTATCTGTAATGATAAAAGAGAATCGAGAAAAAACGGAGGTGTTCAACAATAAAAAGGTGGCTAAACAAACCACGAGGTCACCTTTTGATGGAATATTTTTAAATAACATTTATCAAAATTGTAAAAATGTGTAATAACATGGAAATGTTCGTGGTATAATAATGACAACACCCAGTATTTATCAATGACTAGTAATTAGTCCAATGCTTTACATGCAATGTGGAACCTGAACAAGAGTCTCCTGAGCTCAACACAGATCAATAGGTGTGAGTGATCTGTCCGTGATTGCATAGCTATTCACGTTCAAATCAGGCTCCACTCTGTGCTTTGTCTCCAAGATCACTCTTAAGTCGTCAGTTTACCAGAAAAAGTCATAGAACTAAGAAAAACTGCTATACTCTCAATTACAGTTTATAATGACAGACAGAGAGATTAAAAACAACAACAGCAGCTAGTATAGAGTTCAGGAAATCCTATGCAAGATTTTCCAGTTGTCTTCTCAGAAAAGTATAGGAAGTGTTTGTCTCAGCCACGATGTGTGGCCGTTTGTGTGGAGTTTTGCCAGCCAGCAAAGCTCACCTGAGTCTAGGTGTCCAGGGTTTCCATTAGAAATAAGTGAAACAGGTATGGACATCCAGCTGGCTGACCTTAACCAGTCCATCTCCAGCCTCTCCAGATGAGGAACTGATAAAGCATGGCCCACGGTCCCCACCATGACAACACTGTTAGCATAGGCTATCTAGAGAGACCCAATACCCCAGGAAAGCAAAGGGCAGGATTTTCCAAGGGCACAAACATTATCCCCCAGGAACCTACCATGGGTCAGTCTCCTCTGCAGAACGTGCAGAACTGAACGCACTAGGCATGCTGAGTCGGTCTATACTGTACAAAATCCACTAGCGCCCAGAGGCTGCATGCTTAGCCGCTATGAAGTCCACCAAGAAGGAACCTAGTCTTCGCTAAGGACTTTCTAAGGGCCGAGAGCTGTGCCTTAGGTGTACTCACTTAGGTGTAGTCACGCCTTAGGTGTACTAAGGGTGATGATGTTGGAAAATAAATGATCCTTTCCTGGGAGGAAGTGAGAGACTGTTTAACAGGTACAGAGTCACAATTTGACAGCAGGAATAAATTCTGGTGTGCTGCTGCACAGAAGAGGGATTATTGTTACTGATATTACACCTTCTATTTCAAAATAAATAGAAGAAACAATTTAGAATGTTTTACCACAAACTCGAATGCTTAAAACAATAACCATGTAAATGGGTTCATTGATTATTATACAATGTATACATGCATCAAAACATCACATCGTGCCCTATAAATATGTACTATTATTGTGTTTCAACGAAAAAAAGCAAAAAGAAAAGAAAAGAAAAAATAAAACTCCAAGCCAACAAGTGAGCACTGGGCTGTCCCTGGCAACCGAAGATGTGTGTCACCTCTCTATGACTTGCAGTGTTACTGGTGCAATATTACACGTAGCAGAATGAGAAAGATCATCTTCCAAGCCAGAACTTCCTTTGGAGGGAAGATGGGCAAGTCGTACAAGTAGAAAAAAATAAATCTTTATACTGCCTACTTCAATTTATAAAGGCTGATGGGACGATAGAGATGGGGGCTAGCGAGGAAGAAAGAAACACTACAACTTTAGAGCTTCCTCAGCCGCCTCACTGCTAGGCGGAGCAAAGCACTCAATCTGCAGATTAGTGAAAGTTAGCCCAGAGCTTTATGGAGGCATAAGAGCTGAGTTGTCTTTATAAATGAGGGGAGGAGCCTGGAGTTGACACAGCAGTAATAAAAAGTTACCCTGCAAGGCCGATCTACTTGGGAAGCTCCAGGCTCATGTTCAGAGTTTCCCTGAGTGTGCTGGGGACACACTGGGGCAAGATCTGGGGCCAGCTGAAGGTGGAGTGGGTTGTAGTGTTGAAAACCTTTTGGGGGTGCTACTTCCTGTCCCTTTTTTTAACTAGATCTCTATTGGTCATGGGAAAAAAAAATACACAAACTTTCAAAATGAATGAAGCAAGGGAAATTAAGTGAAGAGCACTCTGAGAAAGGAGTAGGCCAAACAAATTGCGTAATCAAAGGCCTTTTTTTTTTTAAGAGTGTGAACGTATGAGAGAAAGAGAGAGACTCCCACCCTCAGCAGTGCTTCATCACACCATGAGCTCCTGTTCCTAGCCTTTCAGGCTCTCAGGATCCGGGACAGCAGCGCACACACGCACACACGCACACGCACACGCACACGCACACTGAGTATGTCTTCAAGCTGACCCTGGAATCTGGATCTGCAGTTGACCATGTTAGCACTGTGCCACAGCAGCTGAGCCCAAAGGCCCTCTTAAAGGAGGAAAGACTGGGACCAGTTGATGACAGAGTGGTGACATCTCTGGACCCCCACATAGTTGACCACAGTTTGAGTCCCAGACCTTGTGGCTTAAAATTCACACCGGGGGGACCAGCAGTTAGCATAAAGGCTATATCGCTGAACTCCCATGTAGTCAACTGCGGTTCGAATCCCGGACCCAGTGGTTTAAACTCATGCCAGGGGCATGTGCGTGTGTGCCCAAGATCCCGAGAGGAGAATGGAGGAGAAGGGATTGAGGCAAGGCCATCCCCCCAGAGGGTCATTTCTCACTTTCTGTCTCTCTATCTCTCTGTCTTTCTGGCAAGCACACGCGCCCTATAGCAAACCCCCTCCCCCCAAAAAAAATTCACAACGGGGACAACAGTGTGATCATCCCTCCTGCGGGGTGATTTCTTGCTTCTTTTTGTCTCTCTGTCTCTCCAGAAAGCATATGTGCGCTAGAAAAAAAAAAAGAAAGATTAATATTCAATTTTATGCTACAGTGATGTTAGGTCCTTCTATCTCCACCAAACGTTTAATGAGATCTTTTTTTTCTTTCTTTTTTTTTTTTTTTTTGGAGAGATTTTCGCTATAGGGCACGTGCACTCGCCAGACAGACAGAGACATAGAGACAGAAAGTGAGAAATCACCCCCCAGGGGTGATGGTCACGCTGCAATCCCTTCTCCTCCATTCTCCTCTCGGGATCTTGGGCACGCACGCACATGTGCCCGGCGTGAGTCTTAAGCCACTGGGTCCGGGACGCGAACCGTGGTCGACTACGTGGGAGTCCAGCAACATAGCCATTATGCTAACTGCTGGTTCCCACGTTTAAAAATATCTGGTAAGTAATTTCAAGAGGAAACCAAGGAATTGTGTGCCACATCCAAGATCCCAAAGAGGAAAGAGAAGTGAACAGGGATAGAGGCAGGAACTAGGAGCAGATGGGAACAGTCATTCAGACCTACAAGTGACAGTTTATAAACTGTCACTTGTAGGTGTGGAGACTAGTCTTCCCAAAGAGCAATGGATAAGACCTTGAGTTAACTTTATGAACACCGAAGGACTAGGTGACCTCGGGTAATCAAATCACACATTCATACCTATATTGACAAACTTTTGCTCTGGAGGCCAGCCCTATAGTGCGACAATGAAGCGCTATGCAGAGCGAGTCAAATGCTGCATGCCAGGTTAGGAATAGAGCCCCAACCCATGGGCTTAAAAACATGCTGAGCATGCAGGTGCGTGCTCGAGGTATTCATGGGATAGAGAATTGGAGGTACAGGGACTGTGGAGTGACCAGGCCCCACTGGGGGATGTTTTCTCTGTCTCTTTTCCTCTCTCCCTTGCAGTCACACATGTCTTCTGGCATCAAACTTTTTTTTTTTAACTTGGTTGTGGGGTACAAGTTTAATTTTCAGTTTTTAAAACAATTTTAGTCCAAAAGCTAAAAAAAGAAAAAAAAATGCTTCCTACATACAGTAGGATAGACTGATCAACAAGTCAATGTTGGCCAGCAAGTCAGTGTTGCAAGATGTGTGTGAAAGTGAAGGTACGTGTTACGGGATGGATGGCAAGGAGCACCCCACAACCCGAGCAGTGAGAGCTGACTCCCACTGAGGGTAATGGCTGAAAGAAGGCCTACACTGTGCACACTCAGATAGAAACCTCTCTCTGGAAGAAGGGATGGGATAGATTTCAAGAGTTGAAAGTGTTTTTTATAACTACATCTCAAAATAAAAACAGGTTCAATTAAAAAGAAGAAAAAAACACTATTAGTGTAGGCTGGAGCACAGTGGAGAGGGGTGGGCAACATAAAGTAAACACCCTAGCTGGGCAGAAAGGGTCAAATTATTAACGGAGTTTTGTGAATCTATCCTGAAAGACAGGGCACAGTAGAAAGGTTTAAAACTCTGAAGTTGGATGGCCATATTGTCACTTCATTAAAATAAGTCTAGCAGCAGAGTGTATCATGAGACTGGCAAAGTCCTGATGGGAGGTGGGCAGATCAAGTTGGCAGTGACTATAGAAGTTTCCAGAAGGTAAAAGGGAATGTCTAAACCGAGACCATGGTTGTCACAGTAGGAAAGGGCATGTGGAGAGATGTCAAGGAGATGAAGACTTAGTAAAAGACTAGCTATACAGACCTTACTTCTTGACCTTGTATCTGAGGCTAATTGAAGAATGTTATTATTATTCAATTATATACAAAATGTAGACAGAGAATCATGGGACTGGGACTCAGGAAATATTCTATATTCACCAACCCTGTTTATTTTTCCTCCTAGGCCCATAGGAATATTGATTTGTAGACCTGTGTGACTGAGTTCTACCCAACGAAATGTGGACATGCACGGTAAGCATCACCCCAAGTCCCAGCTCCTAAAATCTACCAGCTGCTCCATGGCTGCCAAGTGATGAGCTTCAGTGTGATGATAGAACCAAGAATTAAGGCAGACTGGGATTCTGAGCCGTCATGGAAGGAGGACACAGTAGGCACTGTGAGTGGAGAGCAGTACTCGGCCAGGTTAAGCCAGTTAGGGCTGGTGGTGATTCTCACACACATCAGCTGAGCCTGACTAAATGAACCCCCTTTCTTGAAGTAGGGGATTGATGGAAAAACAAACAACAAAAATTAAACAAAATAAAATAAACTTAAGGGTCATTTCCTTAGCTGTTGATTGGCAAGTGACAAGAAGATGGTCAGGCAGAGCTGACTGGCTGGCTACAGATCCAAGCTCAACCACAACAAATTATTTGCCGAAATTGTCATGATAATTTGGAGGGAAGATTATGTTCCTTATGAACTAAAAAGGGGGTTGGAAACATATTTTACTAGTGTTTGTTAGTTATTACTAGGTGTGTTTGGCAATGATTAAATAAATTAAAAAAATCTATCTGAGAGGGAACCAGCAGTTAGCGTAATGACTATGTCGCTGGACTCCCACTTAGTCGACTGCGGTTCGTGTCCTGGACCCGGTGGCTTAAAACTCACGCCGGGCGCGTGTGCGTGCGTGCCCAAGATCCCGAGAGGAGAATGGAGGAGAAGGGATTGCGGCGTGACCATCCCCCCTGGGGGGTGATTTCTCGCTTTCTGTCTCTATGTCTCTCTCTGTCTGTCTGGCGAGCGCACGCGCCCTACAGTGAAAATCTCTCCAAAAAAAAAAAATAAATAAATAAATAAATAAAAAATCTATCCGAGGAAAGAATTCGCTGATTGGCATGCAGAAAAGAAAGAAAATGCCAAAGTCCAGAAATTCATAATTGTACCATGTTGGAAAATCCAACTATTTCAGCTCCCAAATGAAAATATGCAGTTTTAGAAGGCTTCATGTGAAAGACTTGCTACAATATTTTATTTGAATAAAAAGACTCATCCCTGTGGCAAAGATCAAAATAACGATGTGGATGCATTATTCCAGCATGCATCAGTTATCAACTATACTTCACTAGAGAAAGAAAGAAGCCTCACAACAAAGAAGCAAAGAAATAAATTGGAGTGGAGAAGCATGACTTACAGGGAAACTTTGGGTTCAGAAACTAGCATTGAGATTGACTAAAGAAAAATAAACCAGAAGTCCATCACGTTCATAAGAAAGTTGTTTTTCTAAAGAAGCCATGGAAACAGAACCAAAATAAAAGTAGAAGGGGAAAAAGAGTTTAAGACTCAAAGTAATTCTGCAATGATTCTGCAACCGCAATCTTTCATGAGCAAGAAGCAGACTGAAAAGCTGTAGTGTTCTCAGGCGAAACGTACTCCACATTTCCCTTCAGATGTAACCAAGTGAGGCTATAGATATGAAGGAACTCTTTAGGAGATAAAATAGATGGCCTTTGAGTTCAAGGAGCCAGGAGTTCCTTCTTGAAAACAATGTGAGGCCAACTTCTCCCTTTCTTTAAGGTAGAAAACTTTTAAAGTGTCTATCCAGGAAGAACTGGACCTGAATTACCATGGTTCAGGAGCAGATGAGTCTTTTTCTCCCTTTACCAAATGCAGAATTTATTGCTGTTTTCTTGCACCATGGTATATTAGCTGACATTGGAGACTTGTAAAAAGGTAAGGTGGATTTTCATTCAAAAGTCACTGAACCACAGGAGCAGTATCTCATCTGATGGATAGGGCTGTGCATGATTCATAGGCCCAGGTTTTGGGGTGGATACCACATCTAAATGGGGCTTTGAGTTATCTCCTTTGGGGAGGGGGAAGAGTAATGTTATGCTAGTAAACTGGCCCTCTGAGAAAAAACAAAGAAGATTTTAGTGTTTGCTGATATCTGTTTTGTAAATACCGTCACTGTGACCAATTCTTCAAAAGGTTTGGCTACAAGAAAAAGAAAAAAATCAAGTGATAAATGAATACAGTAATGTGACAGGATATAAAATCAACATACAAAAATCTATAGCATTTGTATATGTTGATATTGAACAGAGTGAGGTAGAACTGAAAAAAGGAATCTCATTTACAATAGCCACACAAACATAAGATATATAGGAATAAACCTAACTAAAGAAGTCAAAGACCTCTATAAGGAAAACCATAAAAAACTTAAAAAAAGAAATAGAAAATTATACAAAAAAGTGGGAAGACATTTCATGTTCCTGAATTGAAAGAATTAATATTATCATAATGTCAATCCTTCCCAAATTAATTTACAATTTTAATGTAATCACAATCAAATTACCAGAGATATTCTTCACAGAATTAGGAAAAAAAAATCATAAAATTTGTCTGAAATCATAAAAGGCCCTGTATTGCCAAAGTAATATTGTGCAAAAAGAATAAAGTACAAGATATCTTTCTCCCTGACCCTAAAATATACTACAAAATTGTGCTAATCAAAACATCATGGTACTAGCATGTAGACCAATGGAACAGAATAGAGAACCCATAAATAAACCCCAAAAGATACAATAAGCTGATTTAATATGAAGGACACAAGTTAATTCACTGGGAAAAGCAAATCTTTTCAGCCAACAGTGCTAGAAAAATTGGATATACACCTACAGAAAAATGAAACTGGACCCCTATATCTCACCATGAACAAAAATAAATTCAAACTGGATCAGAGATATGAACATAAAACCTCCAACTATAAAACTACTGGTGGAAAACACAGGGGAGTCTCTTGGGGACATCAGAAGTGACAAATACTTCCTAAATAAAATCCGCAAAGCAGAGGCAGTAGTATTAAAAATAGATAAGTGAGATTACATCAGGTTTAAAAGCTCTGCACAACAGAAGAAGCAATAATTAGAGTGGACAGATAACTCTTGGAATGGGAGAATATACTTGCAAACTATGCCTTGGATAAGGGGCTCAATTCCATAATATACACAGAACTCAAACAGCTTACATCCTCCCTCCCCAAAGAACATTGATCCATTTAAAAGATGGGCAAATGGGACCAGCAGATGGGGTAATGGCTATGTCGCTGGACTCCCATGTAGTTGACCACAGTTTGAGTCCCAGACCTGATGGGTTAAACTCACGTTGGGCGCATACGTATGCGTGCACAAGATCCTGAGAGGAAAATGGAGCAAAATGGATTGTGGCAGGGCTATCCCTCCTTGGGGGGGGGGGTGATTTCTTACTTTCTGTCTCTCTGTCTCTCTCTTTCTGGCGAGTGCACGCACCCTATAGCTAAAACCTCTCTAAAAAAACAACCAAAAAAATAGTGCAAATGAGCTGAATGGACAACTCTCCAAAGAAGACCTATGAACAACCTAAAAGCATATAAAAAATGCTCAAAATCCCTTTTCATAAGGAAGATGCAGATCAAAACCACACTGAGATACCACCTGACCTCAGTCAGAATGGCTAATATTTAAAAGACTAAGAATCATAAATGCTGGTGAAGCTGCAATGAAAAGGAACTCTTCTACACAGTCGGTAGCAATATACATTAGTGCAGCCACTGTGGAAAACAGTATGGAGGTTCTTCAAAGACCTACAAATAGAACTGCCATATGATCCAGTAATTCTACTCTTGGGTATCTATTTAAAGGATCAGAATATAGCCAGTTAGAAAAACATTTGAACAGTCATGTTTATTGCAGCATTATTCATGATTTCTAAGACATGGAATCAACCCAAATGCCCAAGAATAGATGACTGGATTGAAAAAGTGTGGCACATATACACTATGGACTCAGCCATTAAAAAAAAAATGAGACCCTAGCATTTAATAGAAAGTGGACATATATGGAAGATTCAACGTGACCAGACGATGAAAGTGAAGTGAAGCAACTTAGACTATGAAAGATAAGCATTGTATGTACCCACTTAATAAATATCAAATGTCTGCCCTCTGCAACAGAAACTTAAAGACTGTAAGGTATAAGAGCATAGAGAGTAATGGTGGATACTAGGAGCAGTGTGGGAGGATGGTGAGCACTGGGGGCAGGAGGGAGGGCATTAGAGGAAAAAAAAGAGAAAAATCCAACTACACAAAAGTGAAAATCATGCATTAAGGATGATGTGTATGGAAATATCTTTGACTGGACTAATATGAAGTGTATGCATGCTGGGGAGATTCCTTTTTTTATGCTGTGAAGTTATACACTAATAAAATATAAATAAAACAAGAGAAAATATATCCACCATGAGTTGACAAAAGGACCCCTAAATAAACTCTTGTTATGACATATGAAAGAGAAGAACCAGAGCAAATTCTATGGTTGATTTGGCCAAGGTGGAACTGTGGAGATTTTCTTCTGCCATGTTGAAGGCAATTGTGACAGATGAACACGGACTCCTTTAAAAGAAGCTTTTTTATTCATTTCATAGAAAAAGGAATGACTTTTTAACCATTTAATCCCTAAGAAGAAATAATAAAGGAAATGTTTTTTATCAAAATCAAAGCCAAAATAAAATTTCTAGATATTTAGCAATTGGCTGTCATAAGCTGATCCAAGCCAGCTGCAGCTGACTTTGATGCATAGCCTAGCTTAGCCTTACTCAAATTACTGAACCACAAAATTATAAGATTTAATGAAATGTCTGTTGTCTTAATGCACTAAGTTTTGACTATTTTTCATGTAAAAATAGATGAGAATGAAAGCTACAGCAGTATACTAAATGAAATTGTCCTATTGCCCCCAGATCAGGGGGATTTTAGAGGACTAATGTGAGGACAAAGATATATACAGTACTCACATATTCTATGGACAGCTACAGATATGTTGGGGAGAAACCTCTTAAAAGAAATGAAAATACAGGATCTCAATTATCATCCCCTAATCTCCATGAGTATGAGAAGATGGCCATGGTAAGGCAAGAAAGGTCAGTGGCAGTTTTTCGAGGGTAATGTTGCCTGCTGTCCCCTGAGGTGGTGGGTCCAAGCCCGTCTATGCCCTT